GGGAAACAATATGTAGAGCTCAGGAACAAAAAGTAGTCTATAGGGTTAAGGGCATGAAAGGGAGTACTGTGCAGTAAGTCTGGAAATGCAGTTTGGAGTCAGATTGTAAAGGACTTTAAATGCTACCTGGGGAATTTGCATTTATATTTAATCCAGAAGTAATAGGGAATCAATCAATTAACAAGCATTTATTAAGCACCTACTATGTGCCAGGCACTGTACTACTTGTTGTTGCTGTTGTTCAGTCCTTTCAGTCATGTTCAACTCTTCAAGATCCCATTCAGGATTTTCTCAGCAAAGATACTGGAGTGGTTTGCCATTTCCTTCTCCAGCTCATTTTACAGATGAGAAAACTGAGGCAAACAGGTTTCAATGACTTACCCAAGGTCACACAGCTAATAAGCATCCAAGATTGGATTTGAACTCAGGTTTTCCTGACTTTAGGCTCAGTGCTCTATCTGCTGTGCCACCTAACTGCCTAAACAAATAGTTTCTGTTTCTAAAGAGTTTATATCCTATCATGTTGTTGTTGTTTGTCCTTCGTTCCCCAAGACGAACATGACATCAGGGAGGTGATGCCACGACATGCAAATGAATTGGATTTAAGTGAGGCAGGGCTGTGCAAGGTCACCAGCCTCACTCTGTACCTAAAGTATAAGTAGCTGCATGCAGTATGGACTAGAGGAAGAGAAACTGGAAGTAGAGACCAATTAGAAGGATATTACAATTGTCCAGACAGACTAAAATAGTGGCTGAGCGAGTTAAAAGATGGGGCATATATAGGAAAGATGTTGAGGTGGTAGCACTGACAAGACTTATCAACCAATTGGATATGTAAGGTGAGGATGAGAGACAGAGATGACTCTGAGTTTACACATCTGGGTAACTGGAAAGATGATGATAACCTTTAAGAGAAATAGGAATCTTAGAAAAAGAGGTAGCCTTTACAGAAAGATAGTGTGAGCTATGTTTTGGATGTGTTAAGTACGAGATGGCTAAAGGATATCCAGTTGGAAGTGTACAATAAGCATTTGGTGATAGGGGATTGAAGAGAAAATAGATACGTAGATCTGAGAGCCATCAACATAGACATGATAACTGAACCCATGGGAGTTGGTATGATGAGAGAAAGAGAGAGACAGAGACAGAGAGAGAGAGAGAGAGAGAGAAGGAGAGAGGGGAAAAAAGAGAAAGAGAAGAGAGAGAAAAGAAAATAAGGGGTGTTGATATGGGGTACAACCACAGTTAGGATATATCACATGGATGATACAACAAAGGAGACTGAGAAGGAATGGCCAAATGTGCAAGGAGAAAACCAAGAGAAAGCAGTGTTATGAAAACCCAGATGGGAGCAAGTATCCCAGAGAAGATAATAATCAAAAATGTTAAATGCTGCAGAAAGATTAATAATAATGGAGAAATTTTAAAAGATCATTGGATTTGGCCATTGTGTATATGGGGGATTGATGAGGGGACCCCTGATCAGTTGAGTTCTCCCCCCCACCTCCGTTTTATGAAATTGCAGAATGTAAAAGGCAAAATACCATGAACCTATGCTGGTCTAAGTGGAACTAACCTATGTATACAAATTGGGGTGGACGGGTAGCCCAAAGATGGCACTGGACAGTGGGAGCTTATCTGGGATATTTTTGGACCATCCTATGTATCTGTCAGGACTCAACACAGAAAAATGATATTTTCATTTTGTTTTCAGACTATGAATGGATGGTTTTCCAATGTGTTTCTTCACATCAGACACATTTCTTTAACTTTTTCATGATTGAGTGTTGAAGCACTGGTATCTGTTCCTGTGTTGATTTGTTGGGAAAAGAAAATCTTTAAGGAGGAGAGTGCAATGCAGAGAGAAAGAGGAGAACTCATATGGATGTTAAGGTCCCATAATACCAGTGCCCACTAGTGCTCCTAAGCATGTGCTAGAGGCTCATCCATGTTATTTTTTTTCCTTTTGAGTTGACCTAAATTGTTTGCTTATTGTGGATTTCACTTTATCTGCACTCATAATGAACTGTAAGTCCATGGGGTAAGGTTCACTTAATGGTCTAGAAGCTTCAGGTAATCAATACAGTGTGCTTACTCCCTTTTTGGGTGTAACAGACCTGAGCCTGTTTAATTTCTTTTAAAGTTAGCCTTTCCTTTTCCTTCCTTCCATTCTTCCTTCCCTCCTTCCCTTTCCTTTCTAAGGAATGTAACAAGACAGAGAAAATGAACATGCTAAATGAGTGGGAGTAGGGGAAATGATGCTACTGAGAGGACAAGTTGAAATTTAATTTGGGGATTTAGTTGTTTTCCAGAGCAAGGTTGTGATTGGCTTTTGGGAGTTGTGGCTGACTGACTCTCAAGAAAATAGTGGTGAATGCAAAGATGCTTAATTCACTGAACAGCAAGATTTTTTTAAAAAAATTACATCAAAGCTCTATAATCATAAGAATAAAGACAAATGAATTCAAAAATAATAAAGGACTTCTGAGAAAACAGAAGAGTTCTGATATCAGACTGACAATAAGAACATCTGTTATATAGATCATTCATACAGATCACATCACACTGAAGTTAGCTGTTAAGCTTTCCTAAGCGCTTCTTAGGAAAAACATTTTAATTAAATACTTTTATCATTGGATTAAGCAATCTTTTTATCATATGGCAATGGGGAGTTGTACTGGATGAGGGGATTTGGGAATTGAATTTCAGAATTGATTACCCCAAACTCACACTGAACCAGTGTCACAGGGGACCCATGTTACACCCATGAGAAATACAAGACAAGCTTTGGGCATTTTTTTATTATTCATTCATTCGTTCATTTGTTTGTTTAGGATCAGACTTTTGGTTACAACTTGAGCGATGAGAGACAAGAGCACTGTCACCAAGGTTGGTGTCCTTCAGTGCAAAAAGAAGTGGTCTGTCTCAAACAGTGTCTAGGCACCTCCTCCACCTGTCTGGCCTCTCTGGGCCTCCAGTTGTGTCAGGCCCAGTACCTTGTCAGTATTTGCTCTCAGTCCCGGGATGTCACAGATCCAGGCCCAGGCAACTCCATGGCTTTTGTCTGTAACATTCTGTCTAACACAAACATAACTTCCATGAGACACGTCTGACTTAGAGCTAACAGTTGTTTAAGATTTTTGAAAAGGTGGAAGGGAAAGGAGAAGTTAACATGCCAAGGAGCATTCCAGGCAAAAAGATTCAGTACTGTTGAATCTCTCCAATAGCACATATGCCAAAAGTACTGGTCTATCTCCACAGGCCACTGTACACATGCCCAGCTGACCTCTAAACTATAATTTTCTTTGTAAAAACATTGGACGGCCTTGGCTGGGAAGATCTATGGAAATAAGATAGCCTCTGTGGTTTATCATACATCCGTCTTCTTCTTACTCTTCAGACCAGTCAAACCAGTCTGCTTATCAATCCGTATACACAACATTTTGTCACCTGTGTCTATGCCTTGGCACAGGATTTCTTCCTCATTTCTGCCTCTTATAATCTGAAGTTCATTTATATCAAAGCTTAGCTAAAGTCATCTCCTTCATAAGGCCTTTCCTGATTCCTCCAGGTGATAGTACCTTGTTTCAAATACATGTGAATTGAAGCTTAGCTTAAAAATCATGACTCGTAAGACATTCTCTTCATAATAGAAAGCTCCAAGGCCTAAGACATATTGGTTTAGAACCCCTATTGAACACGAATGTCCTTGGAAAAGTTTGGCTGGCTCCTCCTCAATCGTTTATGACTCAAGTAGAATCTGTAAGTGGAAAGGAATTGGAGTCAGAGGACCTACATTCAGCTCTTCCCTCTGCTACTTATTATCTGTGTGACTTTAACCTTTCTTGTCCTTATCTTCCACATCTGTAAAATGAGGAGGTTGGAGGAGACGGCCTCTGAGGTCCCTTTCAGTTCTAAATCAATGATCCAACCTTTAATCCTATGACCTGAGAAGTTGGCAGCCTTCCTCTACACCTCTTCCCACCATATGCATCTTCTTCTCTTTTGTTATCGTAATATTATCGGCTGACTGAAAGCTCATTTTAATGTTAGCCTGAACAAAACATAATAAAGACTGGTCTGTTGAGGGGAGGGATCAAACATGAACTCCCAGTGCAAAGAGAAATTATTTTAGACTGACCATTATTTTGGAGTACCTAAACTACTTCGCCACTAGGTGGAGCAGTGGATAGAGTGCTGGGCCTGAGGTCGGGAAAACTCATCTTGCTGAACTCAAATATGACCTCAGACACTTAATAAGCTGTGTGACCCTGGGCAAGTCACTTAATCCTCTTCGACTCAGTAAAATGAGCTGGAAATGGAAATGGCAAATCGCTCCAGTATCTTTGCCAAGAAAACCCCAATGGGGCCACAAAGAGTCTGATGTGACTGAAAATGACTGAACAACAACAACAAAAATTACTTTGATTGTCATTTTGCGGATGGTTAAGTTGGAATTCTACTGCTTTGGACCAAGTGAATTGCAAGGTTATGGAGAAGAACATAGGTACAATGTATCACATTGTATAACCAACCATAATCAACCACACACAAAATATAACCAAGTCAGACCAAGTTTCTGAATTAAAAAACAGGCACTATTCTGGGTTTAGAATTCAAGACGGAATTGTAGAATTTGAGCTTTAGAACTAGAAGTCATCTTGTCTGAACCCCTTTATTTTAAAGGTGAGGAAGCTGAGGCCCAGAGAGTGGAAATAAATTGCCCAAGATCATAAACCCAGATTGTTTGCATTTGCTGAAGAGGGCAAAATAATTCCAGAATGTGGTGGTAAGCTCAAACCACCGGAAACTCTTCAACTGAATGAGTGGCTACTGAGTAGCAAGCTGTACCTTCAATACAGATGACGTAGCTATCATTCACTCACTGTTCTCTGCCCAGTGTGCTGCTACAGCAAGAAAGACTGTCCCAATGCCAAGAAAAAAGATTTGTCTGAGGCCATGGTGTGCCCTCCCTTGGAACACCAGGTACAGTCCAAAGTGTAACACTTTGGACCATAGAACAACATTGAAAATGACCAATGGGCCTCCGAACAGCTGCCATCTGAGGACAGACTAAAAACAGAAAGAGATATGATTCCACTTATAAATTCATGAAGTATATTAAGAAAGTGACCAGGTCTCAGATCAGCCAAGGCAAAACAGGAAAGGAGTGGATTGGGTGTGGAGTTGAATGCTAAGCAGGAAAAGAAGAAAGAAGAGAAGGGGTAAGAAAGTATTTGCTCTATTTGGCTTTTCAAATAGCTTTGGGATTTTCTGGCTCAGAACTCTGTGGGAATGTCCCCCTGAGGACAGCAGTGGTATCAGGTTGTTCAGTCCTAAATGGCTCATTGGAACATTGACAACATTGAGCTGAGACCCTAAGTATGGAATCTCAGACCTCTTTAATCATAGGAATAGGGAAAGAAGGGGTGAATGGCTGTTGTTGTTGTTGTTCTCACAGAGGACCAATGACATTGTGAGGTCGATGTCGTGACATGCCTGTGAATTGGATTTAAGTGAGGCAGTGACTATATCAACATGATACAGCAGAAAAAACACTGACTCTAGCGTCCAAAGTCCTGGATTCAAACCCCACTTCTGATTTTTACTATCTGTGCAACCTTGGGCAACTCACCAAATATCCCAAGGGCTCAATTTCTTTGTCTTCAAAATGCGAGAGAAGTGGTAGTGGTACATGGTGTCTGAGGACCCTTCCAGATCTAGGTCTATGATCTCCAAATAACATTATTAGTTTTGTGGTCTGAGGCTCAATTCTGAATCATCAAAGTAATATTTCAGAATGGTTGCCTCTTCTCTAGCTTTCCTGCAATGGAGATGAAGTTTCTTGGGTAGGGCTTAATAAATCCCTTTATGGAGGAATCTCTGAGGCAGTAATAGGTAGGGCAGTGGACTAGGAATGTGGAAGTTGTTGTTGTTGTTGTTGTTGTTCAGTCGTGGATGATTCTCCGTAACCCCATTTGGCATTTTCTTGGCAAAGGAACTGGAGTGGTTTTACCATTTCCTTCTCTGGCTCATTTTAAGATGAGGAAACTGAGGCAAACAGGGATAAGTGACTTAGCCAGGGTCACACAGCTAGTAAGTGTCTGAGGCCAAGATTTGAACTCAGGAAAATGAGTCTTTCTGACTCAAGGCACTTTATCTACTGCACCACCTAAACTACATTCAAATGTTAACTCAGATACTTGCTAGTTATGAGACCTTGGACTTATCTTTTCTCTCTCCCTATTTCCTTATCCGTTAAATGACTTCAAGGGTCTCCTCTAGCTCTAAATCTATAATCCTATGAATGTTCTGGGAAAGGAATATCCTGATTTGAAGAGTATTTAAGGTAAATGTTTTTATTACAAAAAGACAGGAGTTCTAGAATTCACTTTCCTTCTTATGGAATAGAGAAAAGAACAAATTCATTCCAAATCCTGAAATTTGGGATAGCTTACTTTTTCCTAGCCCCTATCTCATCTCCATGAAACACAGTTGGGTGGAACAAAATATTTCATTGCTATAAAGAGAAAATTCAGGAGACCAGTCTCAAGCTGGCTAATATAAAACACTAAGAAACAGAAATCAATCTCTCCTACCCCCAACTCCTGTACTAACTGCTGTAAATCATTGTCTAGGAGATTTTTAAACAAATCTTCATTATGATTGCATGAGTATGGGGGCTCTGGAGTGAAGAAACTCCAATACAAATACAAATCAGCAACTATCTTGCAACATCTAGTCTTACAGAGTTACCTGGGAACCCTGAGTGATAACATTGATATGCCTACAGTCACACTGTCAGCACGTGTCAGAGGCAGGATTTGAATCTGGGTCTTCCTGACTCCAAAAATAGTTAATTGCTAACTTACCCTGCCTCTCTATGTAGGTGACACAGTTAGGTAAACATTGCTAGAAATCATTAGATTAAAATACTACAGAAGGGGTGAAAGGTCTTTGTGAATGTTTTACCCGAGGCCTAATTCCACTCAATTCATCTCCGTCTTCTCGTGTTTCTCCATTTTCAACTTTCTGCTTTACTGAGAGGAGCAGAGACTGCCAGTAATAGAGTTGGCAGGCACCAGAAGATCTCATCTGAGGCCAAAATTGGGTCAGCTTGCAAACTGGGAAAGAAGTTGAACTGACCAAGCTGAATCATCACATCAGGGCAACCATGAATTTGGTCACCAAATTCCTTAACCCTAGAAGAAGGGATCTCTTTGAAATTTAAAAGCAATCATTTTAGGCCAAATAGAAAGTGCCATAAAACTTGGTTTAAACAGAATACTTGGCCCAGGAAGAGATTAGCTGATGCTGTTTTAATTTAAAATTTTAGTCAAATAAGGCTCAAGTAGAAAATTCTTTATGTTTCAACACTTATTGATAAAATCTATCTAAGGGGCAGCTAGGTGGTGCAGTAGATAAAGCACTGGCCCTAGAGTCAGGAGAACCTGAGTTCAAATCCAGCCTCAGACACATAACACTTACTAGCTGTATGACCCTGGGCAAGTCACTTAACCCTACTGCCTAGCCCAAAAAAATAAAAGATAAAATCTATCTAAAATACCTCCAAAATGTATGATTTCTTGCAGAGTCCCAAAATGAATTTTTCCTTACTTATGAGGCCTCAGACAAATCAAGCTAAATGTAGATTTTTGTCCAGTACAGAAAATAACGTAGTAGTAGATTTCAGGTGTTTATTGAATTATGGTTACAAAGAACCTTAGACTTAATATCTCTTTTGAGTCTTAAAACAGCTCTGAGGTAGTAAATACAAATATTATTCAATTATTCAATTTTACAGGCAAAGAAATTGAGGGCCAAAGAGGATAATTGGCTTATTAAAGGGTTCATAGATAATAAATGGTAGAGAAGGACCACCAAACAATGATCATCTGACTCTAAGCCTACTAAAAACAGGCCCATACCCTCCATTATATAAAAGATGTTGAAGAATAAATCAGATGTACTTTTTTTCTATTTTTATTTATATCTTTTTCTTTCACATCACCTTTGATTCTGAATATATAATTTCCTGGTCCCCTACCCAAATATCTAGCTCTTTTAATATAGAATACCTATAGTAGGGAGGCAGTTCAATAAAATTAACCTGTACCTGATGATATAGGGAATCCTCCATACCCATAGTTCTCTACTCCTGTAAAGAAGGGAGTGCAGAGCATTAGGGGTCCTATTTCTTCACTAGGGTGAAGGTTGGGCATTATAGTTACACAGCAGTCAGTTGCATTTTTGGTTATAGTTCTTTCTTCACATTGTTACAGTCATTGTATATATTGTTTATAATCTCAAGATTTTAGACCTTCTGTTCCTCTAAATGAATTTTGTTACTATTTTATCTGGTTCTATGGAAACTTTCTTTGGTAATTTGATTGGTATAGCAATAATCTATGAATGAATTTAGGTAATATAATTTTTATTATATGGATGGGGCCCCATCATAAGCAATGAATATCATTTCAATTTTAAGTAATTCTTTATTTCTTTTAATAATATTTTGTAACTGCATTTATGTTTTGAATGTGCCTTGGCAGACTGACTATTTTAAGCATTTTGTAGTTATTTCAAATGGGACTTCTTTTCTACTGTTTCCTCATGAATTGTTACTGCTATATATAAATATTATTGACTTTTTTGTGTTTATTTTGCATCCTACCACTTTACTAAAGCTATTAATTGTTTCATTTAGTTTCCTTGATTATTCTTTGGGATTTTCTAAGTAAACCATCTATATCTACATATATAGATAGATATTTCAAATCAATTCAGTGGATAAAATTATCAAGTATATCTTCTGTACAGCACTGTGCTAAACAGGGTGAAATTTTTAAAAATTGATATGACACAGTTCTTGCCTTAAAAAAGCTTACATATAGTTAAAAGAGGTAGATATGACAAATACAAAAATAGCTATAATAAATGATAAACACAGAGGAGATGTGCAAAGTGCTAGATGCAGCACTAGCAGGGCAAGGTCATTGCTTACTCAGAGAAGGTTTCTTGAATGAATAGCCTAATTTCCTTTCGGGGGGATGGGTAGGACAGGATTACTGAATAGGTAGATGGTTAGAATGCTATAGATATCATTTATTTAGATATTAGCAAATATTTTGATGAAGCATCCCATATCCATTCTTTTGGATAAGATGGAGACATTGGGACTAAAGGATAGTACAATAAAATTCAGAATTGCTTAGATGCTGAACTGAAAGAGCATTTGTTAATGGTTCAATGCCAACTTAGCAGGAAGCCTCTAGTGGAATTCCCTAGAATTCTGTGCTTGTTCCTATCTGTTTAATGTTTTTGTCAAATGACTCAGACAAAAGCAGATGACATGATCATCAATGTTTCATATGACACAAAGTTGAAAGGGACCGCTAACACACAGGACCAGAGTCAATATGCAAAAAATCTATTAACAGGCTAGATTAAGAATTAATTTGAATCTAATAAGATGAAGTTCAATAAGGATAAATATAAAGTCTTGTATTTGGATATTTTAGAATGCCCCTAGTTCATAAGTGAAGCATGAGGAGGCATATTTAGACAGCAATTATTTTGGAAAAAAAAAAGATCAAGGTTTTTAATGGATAAAAGCCCAACATGAATAACAATGTGATATGAAAGCTAAAAAAAAACTAATACAATATTGGGCTGGATTAAGAGAGGCATAGCTTCCAGGCGCAGGAAAGTAATAGTCCTACTATCCTCTGTTCTTTTCAGACCTCACCTGTAACATTGTTTGGTTCTGAGCTGGGTGGTTTAAGGAGGATATTCATAAACTGGGAATTGTAAGGGGGAGGGCAACCAAAAATAATGAAGGACATGGGGCAAATGAGAACAGATGATATAAAGATAGAACTAGATATGTTTACCTTGGAGAAAATAATACTAGGATAGGGAGACATAAGAGCCAGCTTCACATATTTGAAGAGCTGTTGTGTGAAGGAGGGATTTGACTACTTCTATTTGTTCTGCCTCCAGAGGGCAGAACCAGGAGCAATGGGTAGGAGCTTCAGACAGACAAATTTTGGCTTCATGTCAAGAAAAACTTCCTAACTATTTAAGAGTTGTCCAAAGGTGAAATAGGTTGCTTTGAGAGATGATCCCCACCCTTAGAGGTCTTCAAGCAGAGGTTGAATGACCCTTAGTTATGTATGTGGCTTTAGTATATGACTTGGTTATGATATGGCTATAGAAATCCCTTTCAGCTCTCAAATGCTGTGATACTGTAACTCATGTTAACTTGCCTATGGAAATCCCTTTCAGCTCTCAAATGCTGTGATACTGTAAATCATGTTAACTTGCCTATACCTCTCATTTCCCAGCTAATATTAGATAGCTCAAACAGTTGTCCTAAGAAAATCAAAACCTTTTGGGGGATTTCAGGGATTTCTTTGCTAGTGTTGAGGCAGGATTCTCTTGCTTTGCCCGTGCTTGGATCTGGGTCACAGTACTGGGTGGTGGTCCTGGGGCAAGGAGAAGCATTGGCACGGTGGAGTTTGTGGCAGGGGTGGAGAGGGAATCCTCCTCACAGTTCTAAGACAGAAAAGAGTGATTGTGGTCACTCACAGACCAGAGCACAGGCCAGGAAAGGAGCAAACACCTCACCTTTGGTCATATCACCTTGGAAGAATTGAAAATTTACAGGTCCCTAGAAATACCTCTGAAAACAGCTGCACAAAACCCCTGAAGCTTGGGACAGTACATTCTCCACACTAGAAGCAGACACCTACCTTAATAAAGAGTTTACAACTCAAGAAATTGGCTGGGATCATGAGCAAACAGTGCAAAAAAGTCAGACCATAGAATCTTACTTTGGTGACAAAGAAGATCAAAACATATAACCAGAAGAAGACAACAAAGTCAACACTCCTACATCTAAAGTCTCTAAGAAAACTAGGAATCAGTCCCAGGCCATGGAAGAACTCAAAAAGGAGTTAGAGAAGCTAAGTAAGAGAAGAAGAGGAAAAACTGGGAAGAGAAATGAGAGTGATGCAAGAAAATCATGAAAAACAAGTCAACAGCTTGCTAAAGGAGACCCAAAAAAATACCAAAGAAAATAACACCTTTAAAAATAGACTAACCCAAATGGCAAAAGAGGTCCAAAAAGCCAATGAGGAAAAGAATGCCTTAAAAAGCAGAACTGGTCAAATGGAAAAGGAAGTCCAAAAGCTGAAAAAAACTAATTCCTTAAAAATTAGAATGGAGTAAATGAAAGCTAATGCTTTTATGAGAAATCAACAAATTATAAAATAAAACCAAAAGAATGAAAAAATAGAAGACAATGTGAAATATCTCATTGGAAAACTGACCTGGAAAACTGATGTGGAAAACTAACCTGGAAAACAACTGACCTGGAAAATAGATCCACGAGACATAATTTAAAAATTATTGGACTACCTGAAAGCCAAGATACAAAAAAAAAGAGCCTAGATATCATCTTTCAAGAAATGATCAAGGAAAACTGCTCTGATATTCTCAAACCAGAGGGTAAAATAGAAATTGAAAGAATCCACTGATCACCTCCTGAAAGAGATCCCAAAAGGAAAACTCCTAGGAATATTATAGCCAGATCAAGGAGAAAATATTGCAAGCAGCCAGAAAGAAACAATTCAAGTATGGTGGATAACACAAGATTTAGCAGTTTCTACATTAAGGGATCTGAGGGCTTGGAATACGATATTTCAGAGGTCAAAGGAGCTAGAATTAAAACCAAGAATCACCTACCCAGCAAAATGAGTATAACTCTTCAGGGGAAAAAAATGGATATTCTGTGAAATAGAGGACTTTCAAGCATTCTTGATGAAAAGACCAGAGCTGAATAGAAAATGTGACTTTCAAATACAAGACTCAAGAGAAGTATGAACAGGTAAATAGGAAAGAGAAATCATAAGGGACTTATTAAAGTTGATATTCCTACATGGAAATGTATTTACAACTCATGAGACCTTTCTCAGTATTAGGGTAGTTGGAGGGAATATATATAGACAGAGGACACAGGGTGAATTGAATATGAAGATATGATATCTAAAAAATAAAATTGGGGGGAAGGATTGTACTGGGAGAAGGAGAAAGGGAGAGGTAGAATGGGGTAAATTATCTTACATAAAAGAGGCAAGAAAAAAGCTTTTACCGTGGAAGGGAAGAGGATGGGAGGTGAGAGGGAATGAATGAATCTTACTCCATCAGACTTGGCTTAAGGAGGGAATAACATACACACTCAATTGGGTATGGAAATCTATCTTACCCTTCAAGAAAATAGGGGTGAAGGGGATAAGAGAGGGGGGATGATAGAAGAGAGGGCAGATTGGGGGAGGGGATAATCAAAAGCAAACGCTTTTGAGGAGGGACAGGGTCAAGGGAGAGAATAGAATAAATGGAGAGTGGGATAGGATGAAGGGAAATATAGTTGGTTTTTCACAACATGACTATTATGGAAATGTTTTGCATGACTACACATGTATAACCTGTATCAAGTTGCTTGCCTTCTCAATGAGGGTGGATGGGGAGGGAGGAAGGGAGAGAATTTGGAACTCAAAATTTTAAAAACAAATGTTAAAAATTGTTTTTATGTGCAACTGGGAAATAAGATATATAGGCAATGGGGTATCGAAATCCAACCTGCTTTACAGGAAAAAAGAAGGGGATGGGGACAAGAGAAGGGGGGGGTGGTGATAGAAGGGAGGGCAGATCAAGGGAAGGGGTATTCAGAATGCATGCCATCTTGGGGTGGGGGAAGGGGAGAGAGAGGGAAAAATTTGGAACTCAAAATCTTGTGGAAGTGAATGTAGAAAACTAAAAATAAATAAATTAATTTAAAAAATAAAGTGTAAGTTCTTGAGAGCAAAAAACAAAACAAAGCAAAATAAAACCTTTTCCTTCCTTCTTACTAAAACTTCAAAGTTTTGTGACTCTCAAAATGCCATAGAAATGTGAGCTATAATTAAACTCCCCTTTTGTTCTATCCCAACTGCTGAGCCCATTTCTTTTGGGAAGGCCAGATTACTTACAGAATTCCACCATCAGAAACCGAGTCTCATTCAGCACTCTGGACAGTGTTGTTGCCGTGAGCACCAACAAGTTCTTTTCCTCTTGGATCCCTAGCTCTTCAAGTCTCCGGACCCTGTCATTCTGGAAATCCCATCCTCCCCATGCTTGGGCCACTGAGAGACAAGAGGAAAGAAGTAAAGTAACCCAAAGCAGCAACATCTTCCTCCTGCATGAAAAGGAAATACAGACTGCTCCTTTATCAATACCTAGTGATAATGTCCCCACCATCATACTAATAACCAGTCCTGCCTGGTAAGATAAGGAGCTTCAAAGAAATACTGTAAGTACTGATGATGTATCTAGTACATTGGGGATACAAAAATAAATAATGAAATAGCTTCTACCTTCATTGAGTTTACATTCTACCTAGAGTAGGGAGCGGAGGGGAGGGCATATATGTCAATTATCCAATACAAAATAAATACAAAATAGCATGGGGAAGCAGGGGGTGGAGAGAGAATACCAACAACTAGTGGAATCATCAAAGTCCTCTTGTAGGGAGTGATGCTGTCAGAGGGAAATTTTTAGCTTTACTCCCTTGAGGAGTCTTCTTTGATTGCTGTCCTGATCAGTTTTTGACCCTGCTCTAATTAGATTAGATTTTTCAACATCCAATGAATAAAAGAAAACAGAAAAATCCAACTAAGGCATATTATTAAAAGCTATCAGACAATGGAACTTCAGTGCCCAGATTTAGTGAATAGAATAGGTAGCCAGAGGTTCAAGGCCCAGTTCTGCCAATAACCAGCTATTTGATTTGGGTAAATTACTGTACCTCTCTTGGGTTTCAGTCTCCTATAAAATGCAGAGGTTATATGACACATTCTGAAGATTCTTTCTTATCTCTAAAATTCTATGGTTCTAGGTAACAGAAATGACAAACATGCAGTAACAGAAATGACAAACAGGCATGGGAAGCGCCCAGCCTATGCACCAACCCAGTACACAAAGTAAACTTTAAGGTGATTTACCCAGGGCTCCATACTATAAACTTAAACCCACTACTAGATGTTAGAAAATGTACACTCTTGAAAAATAAAACCTTTGTACTAAGGTGGGGGCAGCTATGTGGCAAAGTGGATGAAGGCCTAGAGTCTAGAACACTCATATTCTCAAGTTCAAATCTGTCTCAGACACTTACTAGCTATGTGACTCTGGTCAAGTCACTGTTTGCCTCAGTTTCTTCATCTGTCAAATAAGCTGGAGAAGGAAATGGCAAATTACTTCAGTATCTTTGCCAAGAAATCACCAAATGGGATCATGAAGAGTTAGACACGACTGAGAAACAACTAAGGTGAGTTGGTGGCATTTAAGAATTAGAGCTGGTATTCCCAGGCCACAACATTAGATTAGGATCTAGAATGGATCCAGAAGGGCTAATTTCCATCTTCTTGGTTACTTACACTTGCCCCATTGTAGTTCAAAGCCAACAGATAGCAGCAGGTAAGTATATCCAGCTGGTATGATAGAAAGAACTTTAACCAAGATTAGGAGATCTAGGTTCCAGTTCTGCATCTCCTAGTATGAAGAGCCTGGGAAAAGTCACTAAAAATTTCCTTCAGTCTTAATTTTCCCATGTGTAAAATAGGGATAAGAATAAGAATAAAATCATTAACCATGGTGGATACGGAGTTGACCTCAAAGTTTAGAGGACCTGGATTTAAGTCCTGACTCTGAAACATAATAGCCTTCATAGCCCTCAACAATTTATTTAATCTCTCAGTGCCCCCAGGCAACTTTGTAAAAGTACAGATTGTAGAGAAGATGCACATCTGCATTAACAAAGAAAAGTCTCTGATTCTGGGCCCCATTCATTGATGAGATCCAAATTAATGAGAGTGGTGATGAAGATGATAAGAATATTGCTAACTCTCAACACTACCATAGGATTTCTGGGAAGATCAAGTAAGAGTGTACGGTTATATATTGTGAAAACTGTAAAGCACCATACAAATTCAAGGCAGTGTAATATGTCAGTCACATGAGTAGAAGTTAAAGGTTTTTGTTTTTTTTAAAGCACAAACCAGGACTGATACAAACATCTGGAGCCAAAAAAAAAAAAAATGCGTCTAGCCTCAACTCATGGGCTTTATTTCTACAGAGGGTTCAGTTTCCAAAATCTAGTGGTGGGGATGAGCCGGCTGTTAGTATGAACATAATAAGCTCAAAGTTTCAAAATAAGCTCAAAGTTTCTACTCTCTGCTTTGCTTGAGCTTGGAGGCTTGTGCACAAACTCATTGCATCAACCTGTTCTCATGGGCAGAATACTGCTTATTTTATGTTTGATTCATGGATCATCTTTTATTGTTCTCATGACTTTATTTTTTTACTCAACCTGATATCTCACCCTGCTTGCTTCTTGTCTCTCTTAGGTTCAGCTTGCTTTGTTGTGGTTTCTCTCTCTCTTATTCTCTCCTCTTTTTTTCTCTCTCTCTTTTCACTCTCCTCTCTACTTTCTTTTTTCTCCTTATCTCTTTATTTCATTTTTCCTTTTCTCTCTCCGTCTTCTCTCTTCTTTCTCTTCTTTCTTTTCCCCTATCTCTTCCTATCTTCTCTCCCTATCTTCTTTCTTTTCTCCCCCGTTTATCTCTCCTATTTTCTCCTTCCTAGTCTCTCCATCTTCTCTCTACTTTTTTTTCTCTTCACCTTCTTTTCTTTCTCTTCTTTCCTCCTCCTTTTCTTTCTTCCCTCCTTCTTTTACTTCTCCCTACTTGTCCCTCTCCATCTTCTTTCTTCTCTCTCCCTCTTCTATTCTCCTTTTCTATTTTCTCTTCTCTTTCTCTTTTCACTTTTTCCACTCCTTCTCTCTCTGCCCCTCCCCCACTCTCAACTGCCAAAGAATGTTCTCTTTTTTTATACTCCTGAGGAAGGCTGGTTACTTAACCCTTTTCATCTAACTTTGATTTCTTCAACAAATCAAACTAAGTGAAGTTGGCTCTTTGTTCAAGGCTAGTTTATTGTTATGCTTTATGTATCCAATATGAGAAATGCACTTTGTAATCCGTACTCCCACCCTTACCCGAGGTGATGAAACCTTTGAAGCATTCACAATTATCTTTCACCTACCCATTCAGAAGTGGGAACTATAAAAGTCTCACCATGATGCTTTATTATAGCTGGAAGGAAACCTTGGATTCTTGAAGGCAGACTACTAGCAAGATCCCTTCATATTGGAATAGCTTCAAAGTATGATGCTGCAGAGATACTGGGCCTGGAATTCATGGAGCAGCATAGCTAAATACAGAGAGACCCATGACCAGATTGTCCACTAGATAATGGCCACAGCAATCCATGAAACAAACAAGTAAGAATATAAAATGACCCTTCGTTCAATTTAATCCCATTCAACTAGAAGAGTGGCAGAAAAGAGAGTGCTGAAGAAACTCAAAGGGAAATTAATATTCATTGCTTGGGAATTGGATTAATAAATTGCAGCTAATGCTTCTCATGAAAATAGAAATTTAAAGGTCCTTTTTAATACTAACATTTTACTTGCAGTGATGTAAGGCCAAGAATTAAACACAATGCTGAAGAACTAAAAAATATTATCCTATAGAGGTTGATTAGATTGGCACATGGTGAGTGTGAGCAGGCTACAACATATAATTGATGAAGAGCAAAAGATATCACCAAGGAAATGTGTGACAAGAAGAAAGATTGCTGGTCATGTAACAAGGATGAGGGATGACAGATAGTCAAACAAAAAGCTCCACTGGCTCCCTTACAATGTCAGGAAAACACAAGAAAGGCTTCCAATGCATTAGATGAACACCCTGCACCAACTGACAAGTATCAACAAAAACCATGCATGGATGACTCAAAATCTGACTCCCTAGAGGGAACTCCCAGATCAATGATATCACAGATCCATTTGAGACTTTGAGTCAGAAACAAAATATGACAAATTAAGAAAAACTTGGGATGACTTAGAAAATAATGCAGAGCAAAGTAAGCAGAAACTATAGAAAATTTTCATAACGACCACAATGACAACACCAAAAGACTTCAGAACACTGAACAATGAAGAAACTGTTTGTGACTTCAGAAGACAATGATGAAGCATGCCTTCTACTTCATGGCATAGAGGTGGTAGACCTCTATATAATGTAGAAGGAAGTATACATTTTCAGAGACAGTCAACAGTTGTATTTTATTTAACCAAACTCATTCATAATAAAGGGAGGTTCTATGAGTTGAAGTCATTGGAAAGTGACAGTGATTTTTGCAGAAGAGCATCAATAAAACATTCTTTAAAAAGAGGCACAGAGGATACTAGGAGTCACATACTTTTTAGAACATCTGTATCTGTTGATTTAACTATTGATGTTCTAAGCATGAGCTCCTTACCCAAAAATTTATGAGTTGATTAGTTTTGCTTGAGGATTTTGTTTTTCTTTTTTTTTTCCAACTATGAAAAGAGATGGTAAGAAGGAAGGAAAAAAGAAAAGGAAGGAAGAGAGAAAGAAAATAGAAGAAATAGAGAAGATATGATGCACGGACAAGAATAGAAAGAAGGTAGAAAGAATCATAGATGAGCAGGACTGCTTTTAAAGTTACATGTTGAGTTTTAAAAGAAAAGCAAATCATACATAACAAATATGCAGTTTCATGTACAATACTCTTTGTTGTTGTTGTTGTTATACTATGTGAAAATACTTATTTTATTTGGTGTTTGATAGATTCAGAATAAAAAAATTAAAACTATTTCAACTGTTGGCATGCTATTGGAGAAAGTGAACCATATCAGTGTTGGCATTCTTGCCATATATGAAACCAGCAGCCATAAGAAAAAATCATTTAAAGGAAAGGATGGTTCACAGATTCTCAGAGAGGCAAATAAATGAGCTGGCAGTGTTAGTTGCATCCAAAGGCAATGAAAAACATCAATTCAAGGTATAGCTGGTCATCTCTCTTTGCAGCACTCATTAGAAGTATTTGTAAAAAGACCACCATGAAAATAATTATAGCTTATGCACCAATATCTGCTCCAGATGATGAAGCAGAAAAATTCCATAAAGAAATCCATATGCTGCTCCAAATTAAAGCAATATATGTATAAATCAAGACTTCATTACCCCAGTATAAAGGTAGGCATGGGAATTGTAAAAACTACAATGGAAAATATTATACAGTATCAAGAAATCAAAGATTTGACAGCTACATGGAAGCCTAATAAGTATATGAATAATTTCTTCAAGAAATGAGAAGGCACTGAACATGGTGAGTGCCAAATAACATCATAGAAAATGGAACTGGGACCAGAACTGAATAGAAAAAATT